ATACCCTCTTTTGTGTTTGCTCATCCATTTCTGGCTAGATACTATTGCGTGTTACTTTCTTTTAACCCTGCTTTCAGCGAGCTAGGATGTCTGCACATGCACATTCATAGGGGCCCCTGGCAAATGTATATTTGCTTTCATAAAGTCTTCAAATAGGCAGCCAGAACTACTAAACATGACCCCATAATGTTCATGCTACGTAGCATCTGGAAATAGAAGACAAGAACATGATTGTTTTGTTGTTGTTAAGTGCCTTCGAGTCGGTTCCGACCCATCGTGACTCTGTACAGGGTTTCCTAGAAGACACTGGTGAGCTTGAACTGCCAAATTTACGATTCAAACCAACTTTGCAGTCCAGCTCATTAACCCACAGTGCCACACCAAAAACATGCTAGAAGGTTGTTTTGTGTTAACTGGGAAATCAGAAGAAAACTGCTGTAGTTCTGCTCTTGGCTGATGGAGTTCACAATGTCACTTCCTGTTCCTGTAGGTAAAAGGGGAAGGAAGAGCCCCACCAAATTCATCTAAATTGGTTCTTTTCACTTCTGTACAGTGAACCCTCCAATACCATAGTGCCCTAATTTCTAACGCGGAGGAAATGGACTTCAAATGCATTCAGGTTGTTTAATAAATCATTGGCCAAAGACCTTGCTTCAGACTGACACAAAATAGCTCTTCCCTTGTAATGCCAAGGCAAGCAGTTTGAGTAAGAGGAAAATGTCACATTGATAAATAAAGACAAGGAGCACATTCTGTCCTCAGTGGATAACAAGAAAACATCCAGAAGTGTGTATAGTAGGCACAAATATGGTACTCTCTATAGTACAGCAAAGCAATAGCCTTGCGAGCTCTCCCTGCAACCAGGTCCCCTGAGGGAGGGCTCAATGTCTTACAGAAAGACCACACAGAAAGGAGACCCCCAGAGTTGGGGACATAGCATTACTGTCAGTTGAGTCCCCAGCGGATAGAACCAATACAGCTAACACAGGCCTGTCTACAGGCAAGGCTCACGAAAACAAACAGATACTCAAAGGTCTCAAAGGTGAGGTACAGAAAGATGAAGGCTTGGCTACCCATATTCTTAATAAAGAGAAGAAAGAAGAAAATATAAGACTAAACCACATTATATTGTATATGTAATATATATTTCATACTAAAAATAATTTTTCTGTAGATACTTTTACTTTTAATGCCCAAAATAATTTTACCTCAACCATCATGACAGTACTAAGAAAAGCATCTCTCTGGTAGCGTAATGGTTACAAATCGGGCTGCTAATATCATGGTCAGCAGTTCAAAACCACCAGCTGCTCACAGGAGAAAGAGGAGGCTTTCTGCTCCCATAAAGATTTACAGCCTTGGAAACCCTGTACAGGGTCGCTATGAGTCGGAACCAACTCCATGGCACATAACAACAACAACAACATAGTAAAATTACACTTTATCAGCTTAGTGACCAATTAGTGTCTTCTCCAGCTCTGAGATTCACCATGGTGGGTCCAAATAATTGGGGTATAAACATGAGAAAATGGCGCTTCAAATTAAAACAGGTGTTAATGGGAACACCTCTCACCACCTTCAGGACAACCAAAAGACAGAATTTCTGTGCAGATAATTCCTTGTTAACTCAGCAGTTTTCAGTGATGCCCAATGGAAATGCCTCTGTGCCCCCTCACACACACAGACACACACACAGTGGGCTCCCCTACAGTCCCATCAACCCACGAATCCTTGTAGAATCACAATTTGGAAAACCACCTATTAAAACACCATCCTTATCTTTTGCTCTGTGAACCTCGGAGATCTGAAACTGCGTGATTGCAGGCAGTGTGTGTGATTGAAGCTGGCAGCCAGTGGCTCTGCTTTTAGGATGCCCAGTGGAGAGAACCTGCTCAAATAGGGATTCAGCTCTACTGCCAGGCCCTTGTCCCCTTTCCAAGGCCTTCCATTAGACAACCTATTTCTATTCATTTGTTTTAATCTTTCCTCAGATCAAGCCGGCAACCCATTAATCATTTCTGTCATTCCCCCACAAAATCCAGGGTAACAGATCACTGTTTTCCTAAAACCACAGCGCCAGATTCAAAGCTGGAGAAAGAGGAAGCCCTCTCCTCCGCCTCTCAGCAGTTGGCTGAGGGCTGACTAGAAGAAGCCACCAAGTGGGCTCACATTCCTCTTTGGCCCAGAATTACATAGAACATTCTGTGGAAATTTTTCAGAGAATTCAGTTCGAAGGGGAGTTGGGGAACCTGTGGAGGAAATCCACACTTGAAGCAACCATCTGAGGAGAAAGAAATGGATAAAAAAATGATGAGACATTAAGGCCAATGATGTTTGCAACTTCAGACACCAGGAAAATTCTATTAGAGATCAAGTCTACAGTCAACACATGTCCTCTACAACTGAAACAATGAAAATCTAAAACATATGATGTTGTTGTTCTGTGCTGTGGAGTCAGTTCCGATTCATAGGGACCCTGTACAGGGTTTCCGAGGCTATAAACCTTTAAGGGAGCAGAAAGCCTCCTCTTTCTCCTGCAGAAGAACAGCTGGTAGTTTCAAACTGCTGCCCTTGAGATTAACAGCCTGATTCGTAATCACTACGCTATCAGAGCTCCTTAAATATGATATGTGATATAATATATGTGGTGTGACGCTGTGGGTTCATGAGTCAGACTGCAAAGCTGTTTGAACTGCAAAGTCGGTGGTACAAGCTCACCAGCTGCTCCTTGGAAACCCTATACAGGGTCACTATGGGTCGGAACCGACTTAATGGCACTTGACAACAACAACAAATGATATGATCTAGCCAAACAAAGGAGTCCTGGTGTGTTGCTGTGGGTTAATGTGTCAGATTGCAAAGTCATTTGAACTGCAAACTCAGTGGTTCAAGCTCACCAGCTGCTCTTTGGAAGCCCTATACAGGGTTGTTATGGGTCAGAATTGACTTGATGGCACTTAACAACAACAACAAGCCAAGCAAAATGCTCTCCAGTAGCAAGGAGAAAGTCTATTATGGGGCTGATATACTTGAACCTGGAGTCTTGGTGTGGTTCTGTGGGTTAATGCACTAGATGAAAAATTGGTTTGAATTGCAAAGTCTCCAGTTCAGGCTCACCAGCTGCTCCTCGGAAACCCTATGCAGGGTCACTATGAGTCAAAAACAACTCAACGACACTTACCAACAACCAAAAATACTTGAATCCATAAAACATGGTGTATATTAAAAAAAGACCAGGCTTATTGGTCAGAAAGTGACTTCAGGAACCAGAGACAATGGCCCTTGGTCCCCCTTCAGGTGTGGAATTGACCTTACTCTTGTGGCTCAGTTTTCAGTCAAGCAGTAGACAGATAGAAAGGGAGAGAACAAGAAACCAGTGAGGTATGAACACCATAGGATGGTCAACCATTTGAAGTCAAAAGGGCAGCGTTTACCTCAGGACACAAGTCAGAAGGGCTGGGGAAGAAAGAGGGATGGGAAGGAGACTCACAGGAGGAAGGAGGCTAAGTGAATTGCATGGAGGAGATTGCGACCATTGAAAGGAAACAAAGTCTATGATTTGGTAAATCTAAAACTGATGATCTGCTCTGTACACCTTCATCCAATTTACATGAACAAACTTTAGAAAAAAAAGATAATACACTTTTTCCATGAATTTTGGAAGATATCATTCATAAATAACTATTGTTGTTGTTAACTCGATCAAGTCAGTTCTGACTCATAGTGATCCTGCATATGGTTTCTGAAGGGCAGCTGGTGGGTTTGAACCACCAAGGCTGTAGTTAGTAGTCTAGTGTTTACCCTATAGTTCCACACCAGGACACCATATATGAATAAAACCGTTCAAAATCAAAATATGTGGTATGACTTAGAGGACATTGATATCTTAAGCCCATTTTTATTTATTTATTTATTTGCCTGTGGGTTAGGAGAAAATACTGAGGATAACCGGCAGAAATAAACAAGAGATAGAAGAACCCTATAAATAAAAAATAAAATACAAAAAAATGGACAGATTAAGGAAAGTGTCCTATACTCACTGTTAGACCAATCATATATCATGATTACCTTAATAGTACAGAAATTAATGGCATAAAATGTAGACAAGTAGAAGTGTACTATCTACACCAGTGTTCCACAGGACCAGCGATGGTATAGACCCAGGAAAGAAAACTAAGTGTGTTGTGCTGACTTTGAAATCCTTCCAAGATTTTTGAACTCCACGTGGCTTCAAGATCTCTTGCATCTCTGACAATCTGTGATTCTATTATTCTCCTAACAACAGGCAGAGGTCACCAGAGATGGATGAGAATGCATTTCATATCCACTAAGGTGTCTCATTTGTTGTACTGACTCAAAGTGCAATGTGTAGTCATCACTTATATCTTAAGTGAGTTGAGACATAAGTTTTAAAATCAGAGTTTGTGAAGAATTTCCTTAAAAACATAAATTAAAGCAAATAGCATCAACCTTATATTCATGATTTGTGTTGATTCTTCTAGGGTTAAAGCAAGATGTCTGTTATGTAACTATACATTTGTCTATAGGATAATTTATCCATGTGCTATTTCAACTGTTATTTATTTAAAAATTACTGGCAGTCACTACTGTAGAATAGAAACATACATACAAAATGCAGGGACTATTATAAATGCTGTAACAATGACAGCTAAGAAAACATTTTTTAAAATATAGAGAGAATTGCCTCTCTTAAACTTAACAAGACATGAAATGTAGTTCACATTTGGGTAGTTTCATAAATTTTAAGAGGTAAATTTGCTTAAGTACGGTTTTGGAAACACAACTCCCACTTAACTTCGTACATACACGGATCTACCTTAGAAAGATGGGAAGATATAGCTTGTTTGTTCAATTTTCTTACAGGTATAAATGGAATATGCACCATTCTACTTCATGTCAGTACATGTCTGCATTTCTTATTGGACTCAGAAGCAAATAATTTGAACATGAGAAAGTCTGAACATAAAAATTAAGCTTACCACAAATGCTATCGTACTTCTCAGTGTAGACTCCCACTGGAAGCAGCTTTTAAGGAACTGGACTGTATTCCATAGCGCCATGGTAAGTTTTTTCACACGGTCTACATCTCTTGATAAAATCTGATAAAACAAAATAGATTAATACTACATGAAGTCTCTTTAGATCAGTTAACCTAGCCATTTAAATTACCTTTTGTACACCTGACAATTATTTTTTTTTAATGAATTAAGAGTCCTGATACTTTTTCTAAAAATCTTTTTGAAAAGCTGAACACTGGTAGAGGAGAAAATCTAAGGTTTTCTTTTTTCTTTTTTTGATGAATACTCGCCATTCAGCAAAGCCAGGTGTTTGGTGTGTGTGAATTTGTGTGTGTGCATGCATACCTGTACAAGTGATAGACAGAGAAAAAGTGAGAGTGATGGAGGGAGGGGAGAAAGAGAAAGAAATTAAGTGATGAGGGGTCGATGCCCTTCAGCTTGGGAGGAAATAGATCCATTTATCATAGAATAATTGAAGCTGTATAGTTCACATAGCCCCAAAAAAACTTGTAAAAAAATATATGTCACAAAAAGAATCCAGTGCTACCCCTTATAAATACATCTCTTATAAAATGGGGTTGATGTTAGTACTAAATTATAGGTAGCTTAGAGTATTAAATATGATTTTAAGTATTTGTGTCATAAGCAAAAGTTTCAACTTGATCAGAAATGTTGAAACACAAAGGGTGAGAAGCAGGCAAGGGGGGTCCTGACCTTTAAGAGTGTCTTATCCACAAATCCCCAGGTGCCCAAAGCCAAGGCTCAAGAAGGGAGTGTTTTGCAAAGGAAATGTCTTTTCTCCCAGTTGTAAGCAGATACATTTCAATGTGTTTGCAAAGCAGCTACCCCACCTAACTCAACCAAGGTTTTAACTTTCAAATAAATAGAGTGAAAGGCAATAACAATAATAAAAAATAAGACATTTACTCCAGTTACATAAAATAAATATTACACTCAATGTTATGGTAGTCAGAAACAAAAACATTTGGATGCTTTCTCTTTACAAGTCAGAAAGGCTTTCCAAGTGTGCCCAGGCATTCCTGGGAAACAAAGGGATGATATGAGGCCTGCTATGTGATTTCTTTCTGCAATCTGCAGCTGCTCACCTCAGAGGAAATGGTGGAAGTCATGAACACTCTGAGAAGAGGACACTCTGTTCTGTGGTACAAAACTGGAGAGGGACAATAGGTACAGAGTGAAATCCTGAACTGTGTCTGAATCATGACAGGGAGGGACTCTAAAAAGAAATGTAAAGTTCATGCCAAAACTGTGAACTTCCTTCACTGCTCTTCACTGTGAGTTGAGATGAGAGATGCAGGAAGGGCAACAGGCAGGAGAGAGTTCATTAAAAATCGGATCTAATGGTAATGCACCTACATCTGACCACACAGAAGTGGAAGAAGTAGGCGGGGGCATCCAGGGACGGGAGTGTCTACAGAACTGCTGGACCGATTCCATGAGTGGTGCACTGAAGCCATCCAGCATGGAGTCTGACGTGGCTGTCATTACAGAAGAGTAGGCAGTGAAACCTTGTGTGGTGTAAACAGCCCATTTGACTGCTAACCTAAAGGCTGAAGGTTTGAGGTCACCCAGAGGCACTTCAGAAGAAAGGTCAGGTGATCTGCTTCTGAACAAAATCAGTCATTGACAACCCTACAGCACACAACTGTCCACTGACACACATGGGGTCTTGAGGACCTGAATCGACTCATGAGCAGCTGATAGTGGTGCCACAGAAAGTAAAGTCAGGAAGGTATTTACGGAGACTGAATGCTAGGAATTTTCATTTACAGAATTCAGGAGGCTAATCGAGTACTGACACCTTCTGTTTCACCCCATAGATATGTTTCAGTTTCTGTCCTTCTCAAAAAGAAAAAAGGAATAATAGATCTCAAGCTTTCTGTTCCTGTAAAGATTTACAGCCTTGGAAACCCTGGATAGGGTTGCTATGAGTTGGAACTGACTCCGTGGTACATAACAACAACAACTTGGGTTTTTGGGCTTTTTGTTGTTTTTACCCACCAAGCCAAACAGTAACCACAATTTCTGATCAAATCCTGCCACTGGTTTTGGATCTCTTAAATTTGCTAATCTTTTATTTTCTATTCTAAACCAAGTTTACTTCCTTTAAATTTCAAAAACTGTCAAGGCTGCAGGTGGGCAGGAGGGCCACAGACCCTCAGTGGTTTTCAGTAAAAGGGAAAGAGTAGGGTTCACATTGGATTGCAAACAACAAGGTTGGTGGTTCAAGGCCAGCAGCAGGCTGCTTCTCGCTTCCACACAGATTTCCAACCTTGGAAGCTCTAAGGAGCAGCTCTGTTTTGCCCTGGAGGTTGGCTGTGAGTCCGAATCGACTTGAAAGCAGTTAGGGTTCTATCAATCATATTAATATTAGCTAACGGTTGATCTTCTATTGCTCTCCCTCCTCTTCTCTTTATAAACGTCATTGAAACTAGCTTATAGCCAGCCATTTGCTTTTGATTCTTATTGTTTAAATCAGAATGGACTCCCTGTGTACATAACTGCTCAGAATAAATCTTATATTTATATTTCTTTGAGTTTCAATTATTTGAGCATCCTTCTCATTGATCTAAAGTATTTGTCTTAATGAGAGATGAAGGGAAGACAGTGGGAGGCAGTGGAAGTGCTTACAGCAAGTGCTAGGCGCCCTGACCAGTCAGCTTATAGTATGGACCTACCTTTTTGGACAACTTGCGGCTGTCTTCAATAAAGCGCTTTTCTCTGGGAGTAAAGGTTCTAACACTTGCTTTGACCTATAAAGACATAACTGTTAAAAAGTGGCGGCATGTGTATGCACTTAATATTTTTTTCTTCTTTTTCTTTTCTTTCATTCTTAACGACTGGGAAGAAATGTGGCAATCAGTACTTACACTTATCATAAAATGGAAATTATACCAATCTACCAGGTTGTGGAGTCCTGCTGTGGCATTGTTGGATAGCCACTGGACCATAAATATGGTCAGTTTGAACAAAAAGGCCCATGGTTCAAATTCACCAGCCATTCCTCTGAAACCCTAGACAGGGTTGCTATGAGTCAGAACTGACTCAACGGCACTTAACAACAACAACCAGGCTTGTGGTGAGAATTAAATATCAGAGTCTAAAACCTGGTGTAGAGCTGTAGGGTCAGCATGGGACTGCTAACCACAGTCGGCAATGCAAACCTACCAGCTGCTCCAGGACAGACTCATCTCGACAGCACGTAACACAAACAACACAGAGTATGTGGTCAATAAAGGGGTTCTAGCCTCACTCACTTCTACCTGGAGTAATCTGTGCTCCACATTCTTCTGCAGGGCTTCAGCTGACAGCCACACACAATGTTCCCAGCTGGTGTACCACGTTCCAGCATGCACAAGAAGATCCGCACCCATCAGTCACCCCCACCACCAATCATTTGTGCTTGCTCTCAAACCTGTTTATGCTAGCTTTACCTGTTACTGGAATTCCATAATTAGTCATTGGATAAATATTAAAATATGAGCAGGAATCAAAATATCTGTTGCTCTAAAAAGCCTTGATAACATTGTTGTTAAGTGCTGTCAAGTTGGTTCCGACCCATAGCGACCCTGCATAGGGTTTCCAAGGAGCAGCTGGTGAGCTTGAACCACCAAGTTCACATTTCAAATTGACTTTGCGGTCCAGCGCATATGCCCACAGCACCACACCGGGACTCCTCGATAAGGTTAGTCAATACACATACACTGTTTCTGAAGAATACTTTTTAATGGGAAAAACATCTGAAGGAATCATTTTTTCAATTTGTTTAGTAAGTGTCTCTAAAGAACCCCTCACTTTAAAGAAACTAAAGCTGGAAATTATGTTATGGGTATAAACTATACAAGTAATATGGCGTAACACTAAAAATAACACATCCATATTCAAAATAAGAAAAGGGAGAGGGTGTGGGACTATATGTAAAGACTGGCATAGGCATGTACCTTTACACACTGTACATTAAAATAAAATGTTCACGGTACATATAAGATACATCGTGTTTTATATGATTGGCCATTTTCAATGGATTTATCTTCATTGTGTTGTATACTGGGGTGACAATTATGCTAATTAAAACCTAATTAGTATAATTAACACCGGAGACGCTGGAAAATATCTCTGTCCAACAGTCAATGGTTACCTTGGAAGAAAATAAGCCAAAAAATAACTTTCACCTTCACTGTTCATTTTTTCCTTTCACATAAACATTTATTGAGAACTGGTGTGGCACTGTGGGTTAATGCCCCAGACTGCAAAGCTGTTTGAATTGCAAGGTTGGTGGTTTAAGCTCACCAGATGCAACTTGTACACATTCTACACAGTCGCTATGGGTCGGAACTGATTTGACGGCACTTTATCAGCAACAAGTAATGTGAATTCTATTGGTTTGGCATGATTATTTCAGATTTTTAGACAGAGGACTTTTCTTCCCTTTCTCCAGGTACAAGTCTGCAATATACTTTTTATTGGTTTGAATCTCTAAAAGCTAGCGATCTGTTATGCTCTGTATGGAAAAATGGGAGGTGTGGCCAGTTAGATTTACCGGATTATATATGAGGTCCATCTCCAAATAAATAAGTCCTTTAAATGCTTGTTCTAAATCTTTATTCTTCAATACATAACAATTTGTTTGTCCATCTCTAATCTGTGATAGAAAAAGAAATATACAATAAATATTAATATAAACTGCATGGTTAAAACTTAATAACCAGAATGAATTTTGGCAAAGTTGAGAATGCTGAATGATCATGGATAAAGCAAATATTGAGCAAATTTTGAATTCATTATAAATCAGCTATCAATTCTAGGGAGCTGTTAGAACTAGTATGTGGCGTGGTGGGTTAAGAGTTGGACTGCGAACCAAAAGGTTGACACAGATCAGAAGAGATTTGATGACTGAATACAATGTGGAACCTGCATAGGACCCTGAGATGGAAAAAAATAACATTAACGATGAAATATTCCCCCTCACCCACACAGAAAAAAAAGGAGACAGAAGTTTAGTTAATAGTAATGTGTCAATATCTAATTCTTAGTTTTAACAACTGTGTGACACTAACTGAATTGGAGAAACTGTATCGGGGAAAAGGAGGAACCCCCAACATGATGGACCAGCCCTGTGGCAGCAGCAGTGGGCTTGTATGTGGCAGTGATTGTGAGGCTGGCCCAGGATGGGGCAGTGTTTCCTTCTGTTGTGCATAAAGTTGCTATGAGTTGGTATCAACTCGATAGCACCTAACAACAACAAATCACAGCAATGTACAAATAATAGAGAAAACTGGGTGGGTGATATATGAGAATTCTCTGCATTATCTTTGCAACTTCTCCATTAACCCATAACGATGCCAAAACAACATGCTTATTAAAATACTTTAAGAACCAAACATAGGAACAAACTGATAACAAAAATAATTAGTTTTTCACTAGTTAAGACCAATGCAAAATAAATAAATGTAGCTTAAACTATGGACTAAATTCAAAACCACTTGTTGTTGTCAGGTGCCATCGAGTCGGAACCGACTCATAATGACCCTATG